GGACCACGAAGCGTGGCATGTGGGCCCTGGCCCTGGGGCCTTCGTGGAGCTTCTTGCACGGAGCGTGTGAAGGGTGTGCCAACAAATGTGCGGGACGGCTGCATGTGGACACCGCCACTGAGGCATTCGGTGGATCTCCCCATGAAGCCACGACGCGCGTGAAGGTTGTGCCGAAAATGAAAAAAATGTGGGGCGTCCGCATGTGGACACCGCCACAGGGGGTTTCGGTGGAGCTCCCTATGGGGCCACGAACCGTGTGAGGGGTGTGCCCAAATAGGTGGGCGGCTGCCTGTGGGCACCGGGGGCCGCAAACGGTGTGAGTGGTGCGCCGAATTGGGTTGGGCGGCCGGATGTGGACACCGCCACTGGGGTCTTCGCTGGAATTCCCTATGTGGCTATGGGTGGGGCGGCTGCATGGGGCCAGTCGAACACCCTATGGATGCCACTAAACGCGTGAGGGTTGTGCTGGTGGGGCGGCGGCATGTGGACACCGCCGCTGGGGCCTTCGGTGGAGCTCCGTTTGGAGCCACAAAACGTGTGAGGGGTGTGCGGGAACAGAGACATGAGGAGGTCAGAGGCAAGGATGGGAGGGAGGAGGAAGGAGCAGGAGAAAGGAGGGACGCGGGGCGCTGTCTCTTCAAACCGAAGACCCAATACCACAGGATGGTTGAGGGAAAATGTGGCTTTCGCCTTCGCACTGCGGACATTCGCCTTACAAGTTTGCAGCAGCTTCAAAGACGAAGGGCGGGCCCTTTCCATACTTACAACAGCTTCGAGTTTCCGTCTGGCTAAACCCAAGAATTATGTTCTGGCACGGTTTAGGACTACCAGGAACGATTCCGGATCGTCTGGACACAACAGTCACGCTGATTCGCCGCGTTGAAGTCCCAAGAATCAGCTGCTTGGCATGATCATGGATTACCAGACGGTTATCTTCCAATGGTGCACGTCCCGAGCTGCTTACACGATTCTTTGACCTATGAAGCGGGCCTTGGAGGGAGGGTGCATTCCACCATCGTTGATGCGCCTTGGGTTTACACCCCTCCTCCTCCTCCTCCTCCCCCTCCTCCTCCTCCTCCTTCTCCTCCACCTCCTCCTCCTCCTTCTTCTCCTCCTCCTCCTCCTCCTCCTCCTCCTCCTCCTCCTCATCATCATCCTCCTCCTCCCCCTCCACCCTCCAAACCCTCAACCCCATCCCCATGCAGCAAATTAGGGCGCGCCGCCCGAAGGCGGCCGAGGGCCGAATTGGGCGGGCCGGCCCTTGCGCGGCCCGGCTGGGGGCGCGCGGCGTGCGCGGGGGGGGGGCGGCTGGCAGCGCCGCCCATCCGGAGGAGCAGCGCCGCAGGTGGGCACCGCCCCGAACCCGGACCTCGAAGACTGCTCGACTGGGCGACGTCGGCTGTGCGGCGACACGCAAGAGTGACTCCAGGTCTAGGTCAGAGTGACCTTTGGTCGTCGTCGTCGTCGTCGTCGCGCTCTGAAGGCCGTCGGGGGCCTCCTGGAACTCCTGGAGACACATGGGGCCAGGGGGCACTTTGTGAGGGAGGAGTACACGGAGGAGAAGAAGGATGACGACGACGACGACGGCGACGATGATGAAGACGGCGGCGGCGGCGACGACGACGACGAGCGCGGCTCTTCGGGGGCCGTGGGAGGACCAAACACAGCGCGCAAGGCGCTTCTATCGCATCGCGTTCGGCGACCGGGGGGCCCCAGTGAGCCGCCGCACCAAAGGCCAGTCCAGCGAAGGGTCACTCTTACGTGTAGTCGACGTCAGCCGTGGTCCGCCTCGACCGATGCTGGCTGGGCCGACTTTACGGGGCATGAAAACGACCACAGCCACTGCTTTTCTTTTGTTGCCGCCTTCCAGCCCGCAGAAACAAAGCAGTGGTTGTGGTCATTTTCGTTGAGCTTGGCACCAGGGAAATGACCACAACCACTGCTTCTTTTTCGGCCGGCTGGAAGGCGGCGCAAACAAGAAGCAATGGCTGTGGTCATTTTCCCGTCCCGCAGACTTGGAGCCACGACACGAAGCGGGTCTCGCGCGAGATGGCATGGCGACCCTGCGCCGCAGCTTCCGCGGGCGACGCGGGCCGCCAGCACGGCGCGCCGCACTGGAAGCGAGGGCGCGCACGCGCGACCTCACGCGGACAGCCTGCGCGCCAGCGTCGGCGCAGACGGGCCCGCTTCTCTGCGCCGCTCGCTCGGAGCCCAGGATCGGCAGAGCCAAGATCGGTGAGGCTCGGGGATCACCTGACTCGGATCAGTCCAAGGCTGGGCCAGTCAGGCACTGCAGCATCCTGGAATATCCTGCAGGATCCTGCAGGATCCTGCGCGCCAAGCCCGCGTCAGTGCATCCCTGGCTCTGCAGGATCCTCCAGGATCCCGCGCTCTGACTGACCCCCGTTTGCATGGACCCCCGCCCATTGAGCCCCGAGAGGAGGTCGGTTGACGTCGCCTGGCTGGTGGAATCCGCCCAAACGGCCACCACTCCCGTGACATGGGTACCCTACTCCTGCTTCTTCAGAGGAGTCACGGGGATGGTGGACGCTTCGGGGGGGTCCCATGTGCAGGGGGAGAGGCCCTTGTGCCATCCACCTTGGCGAGCGAGGCCGCCCTCCCTGCCCGGCGAGAAGGGGAGGTCCCGCCACCGCCTGGAAGGCACACCCCCCTCACGCTCGGAGGAACCCCCCCCCGGTGGCCCCAGGGACCATGTGCTGGGAACCCTACGCCTGCTCGCAGGCGAAGGATCCCGGACGCCTGCGTGGGGGCCCGAGGAGCAGAGGGAGAGGCCCTTGTACCTTCCATGCCGGCGAGCGTGGATAGGGACCTCCACCGCCACACCGCGCTTTGCCGCCACGTCCACCGCCGCAAGGAACCTTGCCGCAACCTCTGCCTTCTCTTGCTCGTCCGGGCGACGCCCACAGAAGATCGCTTCGCGCCATGTCTGTCGCCCTCGGCGGTGCTTCGACGCGGCCACCGGTGCGCCTGTGAGCTGTCATGGACTGCAGCCACCTGTCCTGTGGCAAGCGTGGAGTTCCCTCCTCAGGTGGGACAATGTTTCAGGCGTTGGCGCATCATGCACGGGAGGGCGGGCAGAGTAGTGCAGAGGCACAACCCACCTGCCACCCGTGTGCCGCTGTTTCCCTCTCGTCCCCTTGCCACCGCAGTCTCGCCGCCAGGGCCACTGCTACAGCTGTTCACAATCAACTTAGGGCACCTCAACAGAAGGGGACCCTGGGCACCCTCCAGGGCGGTGGCCCAAGAGGGCCACGCGACCCGAAAGAGAAAAAAAAACGCACACAGGCTCTAGGGCCTCACGTCCGTTTCAACCTGCTGCCGCCACGAGTTATGCTCCAGGCACATGTCCCACCTCCTCGTTACGTTTATGGTGGGTGCTGATGCCTCGCCTCCCTCATCCCTCCTGTATGCCTACTGCTTAATCTTGAACTCCTGCCGCACGCTGTCACGTGCGTCGCCAGAGGCCCCTGGAGCGGTGCTCCAGGGGCCAACTGGCCCTAGTTTGATCAACCCGTCTCAGGGCCGACCAGCCCAGGGGGGGCTGCGCTCGACGAGCTCTATAGCAACCTGGAACTAGGACCAGGAGGAGGGAGAGGAGGAGGAGGAGGAGGAGGAGGAGGAGGAGGAGGAGGAGTACAGCGGAGGAGGAGGAGGAGGAGAAGAAGGAGGAGAAGAAGGAGGGGGGGGGACAAGCTAGGTGCGCTCGCGTCATATCTGACGTCCTACCCCTCCCTCCCATCCCTTACCATGGCGCTGATTTTCTCTATCCGCGGACGCGTGTCGTAGCGGACCTGTGGCTCCGCGCGCGCGTGCGTAGTGGGTGGTGGTGCGCGTGCGTGCGTGCGTGCGTGTGTGCGTGGTTGTGGTGGTGGTGGTGGTGGTGGTGGTGGTGGTGGTGGTGGTGGTGGTGGTGGGTGGTGGTGGTGGTGCTGGTGGTGGTGGTGGTGCTGGTGGTGGTGGTGTTGGTACTGGTGCTGGTGCTGGTGGTAGTTGTGGTGGTGGTGGTGGTGGTGGTGGTGGTGGTGGTGGTGGTGGTGGTGGTGGTGGTGGTGGTGGTGGTGCGGCGCGGTGGTGGCGGGCGGATGGGCGCGCGAGAAAGAGGCCCGCGCTGGGGCGAGAACGCCATCCTGAACGACGGAGGCCAAACACCGATCCGAAAATGAGGCCCACGCTGCAGCGGGAGCACGATTCGGACCGATTCGGGAGCAGAAATGAGGCCGGCGCCTCAGCGAGAGCAGCATTTTGAAAAAAAACGCAGGCGAAAACCCAACTCCCGGGAATCCTGTGTAAAAAAACAATACGCGGGGGGGGTGTCGGCCACTCCCAGCACGCCATCAGGGGAAGAGGGAGAGTAGTATTCATATTGAGTAATTGTGGAGGAGGAGGAGGAGGAGAAAATGGAGGAGGAAGAAGATGATGATGATGAGGAGGAGGAGGAGGAGGAGGAGGAGCATCTTTAGCGCACCGCTCGCCGCAACCCCTGAGGCGGCAAGGCCGAAACCTACGCCTCGTGGGCTGCAGCCCTCCCTCTGCGCCCGCTGGGCACACACACACACACCCGACACCCTGCCTCTGCCTCGCCCCGGCGCCCCCCGACTGCCCCGCTCCCTCCGCTCCCGCCGCCCGCCTCTGCCCCCCCCGCCTCTGCCTCCCGCCCCTGCCCTCCCCCCCCCCTGACCCCCCCCCCCCTGAGGAGGAGGAGAAGGAGGAGGACGACGAGAGGTGGAGGAGGAGGAGGAGGAGTAGGAGGAGGAGGAGGAGGAGGAGGAGGAGGGAGGAGGAGGAGGAGGAGAAGGAGGAGGAGGAGGAGGAGGAGGAGAAGGAGGAGGAGGAGGAGGAGGACCCCACCCCCCGCTTCTGCCCCGCTCTCCTGCACCCTCCCCGAACCCTCCCAGCGCCCCCGCCTCCTCCCGCTTCTGCCTCCCTCGAGGGCTCGCGAGCGCCACCCTGGGCACGGCGGCAGTTCCCCCGCGCGCCGCTCAGTCCTCGTAGACCGTGGGCGCCGCGGCGCGCAGCTGCGCGGCGAGCTGCTCCGGGTCCAGGGCGGCGCCGGCGGCCTGGGGTCAGGTCGGGCGTGTCCCCCTTACAGGAGGATGGTTGGGCGAAACATATAAAATTGTAAAATTATCCCAGTGCGACCCTACCTAGGAGTTGGAACCCCTAGGAAAGCAGCATTAGTAGTAACAGTAACGCTAAGCTAAAGCTAAGCTAAAGCTAAACTAAAGCTAAGCTAAAGCTAAACTAAAGCTAAGCTAAAGCTAAGCCACAGCTAAGCTAAAGCTAAGCTAAAGCTAAGCTAAAGCTACGCTAAAGCTAAGCTAACGCTAAGCTAAAGCTAAGCTAAAGCTAAGCTAACGCTAAGCTAAAGCTAAGCTAAAGCTGAGCAACAGCGAAGCTAAAGCTAAGCTAAAGCTAAGCTAAAGCTAAACTAAAGCTAAGCTAAAGCTAAGCTAAAGCTAAGCTAAAGCTAAGCTAAAGCTAAGCTAAAGCTAAGCTAAAGCTAAGCTACTAGCTAAGCTCAAGCTAAGCTAGCTAAGCTAAAGCTAACTAAAGCTAAGCTAAGCTAAGCGAAAAGCTAAGCGAAACGCTAAGCTAAAGCTAAGCTACAGCTAAGCTAAAGCTAAAGCTAAAGCTAAAGCTAAAGCTAAAGCTAAAGCTCCCAGGGGACTGGGGGGAACCGCTCCCAGGGGACTGGGGGAACCGCCCAGGGCGCTTTCCACTGCCCGGCCCCTTTAAGCTAGAGAGTAAGAACCCTTCTAGGCAGAGCCTAGGTAGGGAACAATGCCCAACACATATTCAAACAAAAATCAAAATATTATCCCAGTGCGACCCTACCTAGGAGTTGGAACCCCTAGGAAAGCAGCATTAGCAGTAACAGTAACGCTAAGCTAAAGCTAAGCTAAAGCTAAGCTAAAGCTAAGCTAAAGCTGAGCAACAGCTAAGCTAAAGCTAAGCTAACGCTAAGCTAAAGCTAAGCTAAAGCTGAACAACAGCTAAGCTAAAGCTAAAGCTAAGCTAAAGCTAAGCTAAAGCTGAGCAACAGCGAAGCTAAAGCTAAGCTAAAGCTAAGCTACAGCTAAGCTCAAGCTAAGCTCAAGCTAAGCTAAAGCTAAGCTAAAGCTAAGCTAAAGCTAAGCGAAAAGCTAAGCGAAACGCTAAGCTAAAGCTAAGCTACAGCTAAGCTAAAGCTAAGCTAAAGCTAAGCTAAAGCTAAAGCGGAAGCTAAAGCTCCCAGGGGACTGGGGGGAACCGCTCCCAGGGGACTGGGGGAACCGCCCGGGGCGCTTTCCACTGCCCGGCCCCTTTAAGCTAAGAGAGTAAGAACCCTTCTAGGCAGAGCCTAGGTAGGGAATTATTCCAAAAACTATGTTTGACTATTTCTGAATACTCCTCATGTAGAGGGACAGGCCCGACTTCAGCCTGAGGCATGGCGATGGCCATCAGGTCGGCCACGCCGCCGAAGCACTGGAAGTCCGCCGGCGGCATCTGCATCTGGTCGAAGAAGGCCATGGGCGTGGCCGTCGCGGGGCTCGCCGCCGCGATGGGGCTGAGGTCGGGCCAGCCGCAGGCCTGTGGCGGGAAGCCGACCATCGGTGCCATCGGCTGCATCGGCATCGCGGTGCCGACCTTAGAAGGCAAAACATCCACTCCGATAACAACCACCCCGACACGCGAAGCCGCTTAGCAGACGCACCCAGGAAAGAATCAAACAGGGCAGGGCTGTTTAGTGAACGCCCAGGGCCGCCTGGTAAACGCCAACTGTCCGGTCTGGGTGGTTTTCCCTCCCTTTTGACGACCTCCGCCACCGGCACGAACGGCGGCGCCGGCGCACCGAGGGCGCTCGGCAGCAGCGCCGCGGGCGGGCTCCGCGCGGAGGCGTCCGGCGTGGCGGGCTCGAACTGCGGCAGGGCGCGGGGGGCGCCCGCCGGCGGGCCCGCGAAGGAGAGCGGCGGCGGGAAGAAGGTCAGGGAGCCCGCGGGGCTCGACGCCTGCTGGCTCGCGGCCGACCTGCCGCCGGCCCGCGACCCCTGCAGGGCGCCGAGGCCGCTGGCGCGCAGCTGCTCGCGGTAGCTGCTCGGCGACGCGGTGGGGCTGCTCGCCGGGGGGGGCGCCTGCGGGGCGGCCTTGCCCGGCGGCTGCCGCGGCCCGGCGCCTCTGCGGCGCAGCGGCGACGCGACGCTGGCGACGTCGGCGGGGTCTGCCACTCCCGGAGCGCGGGCGCCAATGGGAAGCTTGAGCGCTGGCGTTGCCATGGCGCGGAGGCTGGCCTCGAGGAGCCCGGAACTGCCAGGCCCGGACCGGGACAGGGGAGCGACACGCGGTGCCGGCAGCAACTCGCGCCCGAAACAGCTGCGGCGCGCGCCACTCGAGATCCCGCTTCGGAGGCCAGGGGGCGAGGTCGAAGAGGAAGCGAGAGCCGCCGACTGGGAAATCGGTTCTGGTATCGGTTCGTGCAGCGCGTGTGGGCGAACCGAAGAC